AAAGTTCGATGAGAGCCTTCTCTTCTTTTAATGAATCTCAAAATATTTTTGGTCTAAAGTAACAAATTATATATCATTTTGTAGCCCTTAAAATTCTCCTAATATAATGCAAAGTGTCGTTGATATCTGTTAGAACAAAAAAAAATTATTTTGAAAGCCCCATTTTAGAAGATAAAACGAAATGCATTTATTTCCAATAGATTTAAGTAAAAATATTAATGAATAATAATTTAAATTTTATATAGTTTTTTATAATTTTAGGAATAAAATAATCAACTCTAAAGGACGTTTGAAACAATAAAACTCGTCAAATATGTTTATTACAAACATATTTAAGTAAAAAAAATTAAAGGAATAAATAAGAACTTTAATTTTATTTAGTTTTTATAATTTTAAAAATAAGAAAATTAATTATAGAGGGCGCTATTGATAAAGATTATTATAATCAGGGACATGAAACGGAACTTTAAGTAAATTTATGGAACCCGGAATTCCGGAAACTTCTTGGAACGTTCCTGAAAATATATAAAATTTATTATTTATTTCTATAATTAAAAATATATAATCCATCTAACAGGTGCATATATTAAGTTCTTTTTATTTTCTTTTATATATTATTTTTTATAATAATAATTAATCATATTAAACTATACAATACTAGCAAAGTAATAACAAGTAGTAAAAAATTTGCTTGAATACTGGGAATCCAATAAAAATCTATCCTGTATGAATTGGCCCAAATCATATTAGCACCATGTAGCCAGGTAAGTATTGAACATTGTTTTTCGACACTCAAATTTATATTAACATCCCAAAGAACCAATATAAATGATAACCTTTTAGAAAATATATTATTCGATGTAATAATTTATTCATTAATTGGTTAAATAAATATTAATTAAAACATGTAGATTTAAAAAATATATTTAGATAAGGAACGTTCCGAAAGCTGGAATGGAACAATTTTTTTACCGGAACTGAAACAGAAAATATATTTTCTTTTTATTGGAGTTTAAAAAATATGTTAAAAAATTTCATTAATGGTTTTATATAAAATATTATACATTATAATTATCTATAAAAAAAAGCGGCCTATATAATTGATTTATTTATTCCTATTAAAAAAATGATTTATAAATTATATTATTTATTCATAATCATTAAATTACAAAGGATTAAAAAATATATATTAAAATGTATATTAAAAATTAAATATAAAAAAAATTAATATATAATATATATATATAATCTATGAAGACATTAAAAAGGACTATAAAAAAAATATATATACATTTTAAAAAAAGGGGGGTATATAAAATTTTATCTCTTTTTTCTCCGTTAATATTTTTTTACTTAAATAATTAAATATATTAATGATAAATATATTTGATGAGTTTCATGGTTTCAAACGCTCTTATCATGAGTTTCATCGTTCTAAATGTGGCACTTTTCAAAATATTTTTTTTGGTTTTACCGAAAATACGACACTATAAAGTTTTCATAAGGAGAATTTTGAAAGCTACAAAATAATACATAATTTGCTACTTTAGACCAAAGGTTTTTTGAAAGAGGAAAATTCTTTCATCGAACACTCGATATCATAGGCGTAGCCTGGGGGGGCAAGGGGAAATTCCCCCCCCTCCCCTTCAGAAATTTATCACTTTTTGTAAATATCATTTTTAGCTAATAAAAAATATCCCCCTTAGTCCTCCCCTCACTCCCTGACCCTTAAATATGTATGCATATATCTTAAATAATAAATTATAAGAAAGAATGTAAAAGTTGATATTTTTTTATAAAACTATTCATAATAATTTATAGATTTTTGGGAAAATAAATTTATAAATATATAAAATGAACCAAAAATGTTTTTTAATAAATGGAATATAAGCCAAAGATAAGTCTTAAGACAGAAGTGAAATGTATTATAATTATTAATAATAAATCCATAAAATTACTAAATAATATAATATATCAAATATAATTTTTTATAAAGTGAGTAATTTTAATTTATTTATCTTAATAAAAGTAAAATATAATTATAAAACTATTGATAAAATTAAATCATAAATTAAAAAAATATTAAAGCACAATACAAACAGTTGAATATTATATGTCGTAGTTTACAGTATATCTAATTATCAAATGACAATCAAGTAATTTTTACCTATATAGCGAATTATATATTTTATAGAAAACTATAAAATATTGACAAGGACATCAGAAAATATCTTAAGACATTGTGGCATAAATAATATGAAGATTAAATTTTAATATCATTTTTACTTAAAATAAATAGATGGCGTTAAATAATTGAATGCAAATTCTTGCTATATTTAATAAGAGCATTGATTAGTAAAATTTGTTAAATTATTAGCTGTAATATATTCTCTAATTGTCAAATATGTCTGTAAAAGTGAAATTTTACCTAGTATTTTATAACTAATTTTATATAATAGAGTAAAATCAACTATATGTCTACTTACTTTTTATAAATAAATTTCTTATAATTGTTTGGAATAAATTATTACCATGCTCTTATATTAAGGTATACACAATACAAGTAATTTATTATATTTTATATAAACTAATAAAAATATATTTCATATTTGTTCCAGGCTTATTTTTTTTATTAAAATGTGTAAAAATATTTTATGACTATATATAGACTAAAGTAACCCGGCCGAAGGCCGAGAAAAAGCGGGCCGAAGGCCCGCCCAAAAGAGAGTCTGGGGGCGAAGTCCCCACTAATTTTTTAATTCCCCCCCTTATGAAAATCCTGGCTACGCCTATGCTTGGAAGGATACAAAACTGGAAAATAATAAGACACAAACTTTAATAAATAAATGTCCCAGATATATTACCAGAACTTTTTACCCTTATAACTAACTATGCTCTATGGGCCAGATGTGGCATACTCCTACTATATAGAAAGATTGAATACAGTAAAATCGAACGTAGGACATATTCTTAGGCATGCCCCAAGAAACCTAATTTATCAAGTACTCGTAAATATACCCCCGGAAGAGTCAGCCCTTGAACCCTTCCTAAGTGTAAAAATAGCCTGCTCTGCAGAATAACAAGATCATTAGTAGAGTTGGGCCTATTCTGGAAATTCATAAAGCGAGCTTCTACTCAGAAAAATTTACAAGACCATTCTTAGGCTAATCTAGAAAATATGAAGAATGACTCTGAAGGAATTTAATTATTGAGAAAAGATCTCTAATTTCTCTTTTGACTGCGAGTTATCCAACTAATAATGATATTTTATGAAAAGTCCCCTGGATTCTATTGATAGTTTAGTTTTCTAATAGTTGATAAGTTATCTTATTTAGTGTTTTATAGACCTAATTCTAGTTCCATTTGTTATAGATATGTTGGAGTAGTTATATAAATGTCTTTTAAGTTTATTCGTTGTATAAGAGTATAATTCATTAACACTTGAGACTGTATAGACCCAAATAAGGTAAATAGAGTAATCGTTATAGGTAATTACGGTTGAATAAAATATGAAAAACTTAGAATAATTTTGCCGATTACAAAGTGAAATTAAAATATAAGTGGGTTAACCTATTTACGTCATATATGTCTTTTACTAAATAATAATACAATAACTAAATAGAATTTCAACACCAAAACAACACGAAATAATTATAACACTCAAAATACTTAACAGAAAATTTAACAAATTAGATATTAGTTTTGCTTTTAATGCTTACTATAAAAAAAGAATATAATAATCTTTGTATTTGGAAAGAATAGTGTTCTCACATTTACCCAGGGATGTAAACCTTACGACAAAAAAAGGATCCAGGTCCTGGTTCGGGTACACTAATAAAATTTAAAAAGGGTTCGGGTTCAGGGAACATAAAAAAATGACTCAAAATAAGACTTTTTTCATTCATTTATTATTATACTTTAATATATATATTCGTAATTTTAAAAAATTTAAAAATGAAATAATTTATATTTTAAATGTTTTATTCAATCGCACAATCATAATATCATCTAAAATATTTTCCTTGAGATTTCCACGTAAATTAGATAATATATAAATTCACGTTCTACGTTTACCTAAGATAGTTATCCTTATAATACATAAGTTATTGTATTTGTGTCGCCGGTACAGCCATGACGATTATAGACAAGATATATATATCTGAATATATTGAAGAATTTTATACCAGAATTTTAAAATATTTGTATCCTTATTTATTATTTTAACTTCTGAGAACTTTTTTTATTAAAGATGCAATAGGCATTTTTTGATCCTCCTTTCTATCTGATGATAATTTAATTTGTTTTTTTCTATCTAAAATTAAAATTTCAAGATTATCAATGTTGCTCTCATTATCATTATTATCACTATAACCAGTAGGTATTTAGCCTTCAATATATTGTAAATAATGGAGTTTTGCATACATAAATCCTTAGGATGGTCTTTAGCCATTTGTTTTTACTCAATACTCAATAAAACTTGATATAGAGGGTCTAAATATATAAAAGCGTATACAACATGCTTTCGAACTTTCATGTTTTCTAATATTCCGAATGAAAAAGGACTAGTAAATCTTTCTAAATTTAATCGGCATCTAATCCATATGCCATAAAAATCATATAGACATAATTGTTCAGATTGTAATCTTGATGCTGATATTTATAATGAAACTTACACTAGTGAAGTCCTTTTATGGTGACAATCATCTTCCAACAAAATGACTTCACATGCTCCTATAATAAAATCATTACACAAATCTTTCAAACTTATTAATCGTTCTAGCATCATATAAATTAAGGACTAACGTGTTGTAAAATCTAACCATTGACCATTTCATTGATTTTAATATTCTTACAATTGTGGGAGTTCTTAAATATTTTGCAACTATCAATGATAGTTTTTTAGTGATTATTTTTTAGGCAACCATTAATACATTAATTTAATAGCCAATTGTAGAGTAAATAATAATTAACGTTCGTTCACTTTGGACAGGTCTATGCCTAACGTCCTAGATAAGATAAGTAAGATATCATATTTTTTGAGTCTATAACCATATAAAAGAATGGATTCATACAAATTGGAATTCGTAAGTCATGGATAGTACTTTTAATATATATTTTTAATACAGATTAAGAGTTCAGATTTGAGCTCTGAATTAGACGTTGATGGGGAGCAAGAGGATAATAAGTGGTAAATTTATTTATTTAATAAATATATTTATATTTCATTAAGACTTAAACGATATGATTTAGCCACCAAGGCTAGTAAATTTGCTGCCCATTATCCAGTACTGACTAATTATAAGAGTGCTTCTCATCACTCAGAATTTGTTGATAAAATTGATAAAGAAGAAAGAGGCAATAGGCGAAACTATGACACTCTAGATGCATATAGTAAACATGTTAAAATGGTGAATGATTATATCACATATTATGGTGGTTCAATTAAAGAATTAACAAGAGATCAGTGAATCTTATAATAAAATAAATTTTTTGATTATTTAATATATAGATCCAAAAATAAAAATTTGTCGGATGTTATAAGAGAAGAACATAAGTTTATTTGGAATGAAACTGATAAAGCAGACACATGGTTTTTATAATATATAATTTTTTTTAAACATATTTTATTATTATTAGCATTGGGCATGATTAAAATGGGAATCCCTATAAACTAAAAATCCCCTATTAAAGAAGCATATATTATATAAAAATAATATGGATTCCGCTCTTCAAAAAAATTTAGAAAATGTTTTTTTTTTCATTTAAAAAAACTGGTAAATTAGTATAAAAACATTTTTTTTCATGACTAAAATAAGAAATTTTGCTAATTATTAAATATTGTTAAAAATATTAAAATATCTTTAATATGATTTAGAAAATGTTAAAAGTAATTCAAAATTATATTTTGGTGGAATATTGGGAAAAAATTAAATAGATACATATATATCTTTAATATGATTCTGAAAATGTTAAAAATACATTTTTTTAAAATAAAACTAAGTATCCCCTATTAGAAATTCTCAAATTAAAATAATAAATATAGAACCATGTATAACTCCTCAAGAGGATTAAGAAAATGTTAATATTAACCTTTTTTAAATATTAAAAATTTTTTTTATTTTTTGACTAAACTAAGAATCCCTATTAAAAAGGCTCAAATTAAAAAATAAATATGGCATCATGTATAATTAATTCTTCAAGAGAAGTCAGAAAATATAAGTATTCGTATTTTTTTATTAAATTTTATAAAATATCAAAAATAATTTTTTTGATTAGACTAAGAATGCCTTATTAAAAAGGCTTAAATTAAAAAAAAATAATGGGATTATATAATAACTCCTCAAGAGGATTCAGAAAATGTTAATATTCAAATTTTCTTAAAATATCTAAAAAATATTTTTTTTGACTAAACTAATAATACCTAAGAATCCCCTATTAAAAAGGCTCAGATTAAAAAAATGAATAGTAGAATTATGTATAACTCCTCAAGAGGATTTGGAAAATGTTAATATTCATATTTTTTTAAAATATTTAAAATATCAAAAAAATTTTTGACTAAACTAAAATCCCCTATTAAAAAGGTTCTAATTTTAAAAAAAATGAATATAGACAGAGTCATAAGGATTTAGAAAATGTTTTAAAAATTAATTTTTTTGACGAAACTAAGAATCCCCTATTAGAAGTGCCTTTTTTAAATAAAATTATTCATTTCTCTTAAATATGATTTAGTTAATTTATAAAAACTGATAAATGAGTAAAAAAACATTTTTTTTCATTACTAAACTAAGATCAACTTTGAAGAAGAGCATATTTAATAATTATTATAGATTTGTGTTTAGCTCTTCAATATAATTTACAAAATTCAATTCTAATTTTTTTAAAAAACTTGTAAATTTATAAAATTAAAAAAAGACAGATTTATTATTATCGAAAATAACCATTTTTAGGCGTGACAAATACGCATCATTGGAAATGATTATTGACGAACTCAAGTAAATTGGATTTAATCTCATACCCTGCCTTTTGACCATTTTTCAATAAATATTAATTATTAAATTTTTATTAAAAACCATTTTTAATATATTCTAACTCTAACCCATATCTCTCGAACCTTTAATAAACCTAGCCCATATCTTTCTAGCCTTTAATCCTACTCATTTTTTCAACTTTAAATATATTTCATCCAAATATAAAAATTCCTTGAGTTCCAGATTCAACGAGTTGGGTATTTCAGGTAACTAATCTTCCCTATTAAAAAGGCTCTAATGTAAAAATATATTTAGAATAAAATGTTTATCTCTTCGAGGGGATTCAGAAAAATTTAATATTAATTTATAAAAAAATTTAAATATCCAAAAGAAATTTTTTAAAATCAAATTACGCATTCCCTAATATAGATGTTCAAATTTAATAAAATTAATATGAATCGTGTTTAGCTTATTGAGATGATATAGGAATTTTTTATTTAATTATTTTTTTTAAATTGATAAATTAATAAAATATAAAAAAAAACTTTTTTTTGATGACTAAATACACATCCCCATGTAAATTCCTACACATCCTCGATGATTATGCGCATTTTTAATAAATTAATGCAGAATCATGTTTAGCTTTTTAAAAGGAATCTTAAAATGTTAAGATTTAATAAATCTGTTAGATTAACGGGATATAGAAAATAAACCTATATTTTTGACTTAACTACAAATCTTATCTAATTATAAGTGAATTAAAAAATAAAAGTAAAATCATATTTAACACTTTAAGGCGATCTAGAAAATGTTGGTTAAAAAAATATATAGATTAATTATCAAAAATCGAAAAAAAACTAAAGTATCAATCAACAATCGTTTATTGGTAGAAAATAATTGAATTTTATCATGTTAAGGTTATTCCAATTATATATATACACAACTAGATTGGTCATTCATTCATTAAATGCATTTAAAATGTCCATATGTAGGAGTCGGCAGCAGCGTAATTTTGTGGTTTGCACGTGTCGGCATTTAATGATAAATAAAGACAATTTGTCAAGTGTAAAGCACAAAATGATGCTAAGCTGGTTCCTATGTATGTGCATTTTTCATTAATAAATCGCCAATTTAGTAGTATATATACATCATTGAGTTTTATCCAGAGTGGCCCCTACACTTTCTGAGCGAATAAAGCAAAATACCCCCTTGAAAAGTACCCCACCTCTCAAAAAAATGATAATTACTTTATGACACCCAAAATTTCAAAAATAAATTTTATTGCATCAATTTTTAATATAAATAAAAATAAAATGCAAAGAATATATACTTTATAAATATTATTTTTAAATTAATAATTTAGATAAATTAGGGGAAGAGAAAGCGAAAATTTTATAATTTTATCAATATTTAATTGTTTAAATAATTTTTTTTCCATTGATAATATGGTTAAATTATTGAGAAATAAATCTTTCATGGTACTACGAAGTCTTGTTTTAATTAATTTAATTTTACTCATGACTCTTTCGGCAGTACATGAGGTTGTAGGAATGGTTAATAAATATTTATATAAAATTGTTAAATTAGAAAAAGCAGAAAAATTTAAAAGTAGACGATAAGGTAAAATAGATGAATAGTTTTTCCAATCTGAATCGTAAGTCCCTGAATTATCATCATCATCAGAAGAAGCTAAATAATGTATTGGTAAAAATATTTTAATTAAATAAATTTACAATTCTCAGAATCTGACAAATCTTTAGATTATTGAACCTCTAAGTCATGAGTAATAATTACATTCCCCATTATGGCCATCTTATAAATATTTCTAAACTTCAACATTTCTTCGAAAATTTGACTTGAATTTAAATTGTAAAATTCACAAATATCCTCGATATCTTCCTTAATAATTGATTTTTCTGCCACATTATTTGGCTTAAAAAATGATGTTCGATGTAAAAATTTCATTGAATCATCATTAAATCTTTCGTTAAACTGCAATAATTAAATCGAGTGCAGCATAAAACACACCTATTTTAAAGCTAAAAAAAATTTCTATATTTAATGATGAAAGTATATATACCTCTCCTTTTTGGATTGTAATGTTTGAAGTCTAGAACTTTCAAAATCAAAAGGTAGATTTCTCTCCTTCATAAAATCTTTTGCCTTTGAAAAAACATCCAAAAATTCAGTGTTATTATCTATTAGATTAAAAAATAATTAAGACAATAATTTATATTATACTTCTCAAATTAATCAAGCAATCTTTTGCCAATTGAATTTGATTTATTGCAAACCCTATATCCTTCGAAATGGTTTGCAATTTTGTACAAGCCAAACTTGTTATCAACAATATTTTATCCAAAACACAAAGTGATAAGATAAAATCAAATTTTTCTATTCTAAAAACTATAGCAGCCATAGTGGAAGTGGCAGGATCTTCAGAATCCTTCTGCCCTCAAGGCATCATAAAGTAGAAAAAAATTTACAATATCTTTATATGACGATAACCAGCTTCTAAATAAAAAAACATGTTAAATCTAAATAAATAAGGTACTATTACCGAGTGGTATTTATTCTTGATGCGTAGAAATCTTTGCGATTTTTTCAGATCATTACACTGACATTTTTTGAGTACCTCATATCTTTTTACACCATTAAAATAGATATAAATCTCATCTAGTATTCCTAGAACATTTCGAAGTTCTTTAATTGATTGGCATAATTGAACAATGATTAAATTTAATCGATGACAATAACACCAAATAAAAGCTGCATTTGGCGCTCTGCTATAATCAAGGCCTGCACACTATTGATTCTTCCACTCATGTTTGAGGCGCCATCATAACTTTGCCCAACTAGAAATTCAAGGGGTAAATTCATCGAGCCAAGTTTGGATATTATATTATGCTTAATATCGAGACCTGTGGTATTTCCCGTACAATATATGTCAATCAGTCTTTCAACAGGCTTCGGCGTCTCACTATTTTCAACATATCTTACTATCAAAGCTATTGCTTCTGATTTCGAAACATCATATTTGCCATCAACTATGATTGAAAAGCACCTGTTAAATGTAATCTGGGGGGGGGGAGTCTTATTATTACATTTATAAACCAGAAATCACTTGATCATGATGGATGTAACAAAACAGTAAAAGAATTAAATAATAAAGAAAATTTTTAAAAAAAGTACCCCCACTCAAAAGCAGTTGCTTCGGACCCTTCCCCCGTTGTAGGGGCCACTGGTTATCCATGAAGGGCAAAAGAAAGTTTTAAATGCAAGAATATTTTCGAAAAATCAAAGATTTTTTGACTAAAATAATAATTTATACCAAACATTGCTAGTGATATGTTTAAAAAAAATACCTATGTTGGGCTTGTCCAAATATGAGATGGAAATTTAATCTGATTATTTTTAGGGGATATTATTTATTTTATTAAATGTTCCTCTACAAATGTATTAAACATATTCAATTTAAAATTATTGGAGCATATTAGCTTTACATATATCAAGATCTTTTATAAAATTTTAAAATCCTTTGAATTTACAGTTTTAAATAATATATAGTTATTAGTGTTGTCATAACTAGTTATATTTTAAAATTTGTAACTAGTAGCTATAACTAGTTATATTTTTACCAATTGTAACTGACAAAAGTAACTAGTTACTTTTAAAAATATGTATGTATAAATCTAAATAAAGGAAAATAATGATTCAGATATTGAATACATTTCAATAGAAGATATAATGTCTTCCTCTGGGGTAACCAATTATAATATAAATGATTTCTACTACCTTCCCAGGCATCGAAGATGTTCCTGTCACACATTAAACTTAGTGGCAACACAAGATGCCAATAAAATATTTTTGAACAATATGGATTATAGGAAAGTGTATAAGGTTGCTATATCTAAATGTCAACGTTTGTGGAATATACAAAACAAATCTGGGCCATCAGCTGAGCAAATTAAAAAGAGATTACATTCTCAGTTGCCATATCCCATTGTAACAAGATGGGGTTCTTTTTATACATCTTTATCTAAAATATTATCATTTATAAATGAAATGCCTTTGGATTTCGATTTATTATGTCATGAATTAGAATTGTGTAGATTTACATCACAAGATCGTGATTTTATTAAAGAATATTGCAGTGTAAATTTAAATTATTGTCTTATAAATAATTTACAATTAAAAAAATTAGATTATGCAACCAACAGCTAAAGCTATTGATATACTAGAAGGTGAAAAAATGTATCTAGGTTATTATACCCAAACAATAACATAGATACTTATCTGGCTGGAAGGTGTTTAAGAATTAAAATATTGTCAACCTTTAAAAGATGCTATATTAGCTAGTATAAAAAAAAGGTAACTTAAATTAAATAATTATTTATAAATTAATAATATAATGATATAGGTTTCATGATCTTTATGATAATGATAACATAATTGCTGCTATTTTTTATCCACTATTTAAAACTGATTGGCCTTGGATAAGGCAAGAAAAGAATAGATCAAAAAGGATGGAAATTTTAAATTTAATAAATACCTTAATACCTCGCGGTGAATCTAACACAAATGGCTCATGTTCGCAACAAACTCATTAGATATAGTTGGATTTTTTGATTTAAAGCGTCAAAATATTATTGATAATGATGAATTTATTGAAAATTTTATTAAATCCAATAACAGCACATTATCTTTATATGACGATTTTCCAAATTTAAAAATACTCTTTATTAAATATAATGTTGTTATTACATCAAGTGCTCCTGTAGAGCGTTTATTCAGTCTAGGGAAGCTCATCTTTGGAGAGAAACGAGCGCGTCTCCTGGATAAAAATTTTGAAATCCAATTGTTGTTAATAGCAAATAAACATTTATTAAACTCAAATTTTTATGAAAAAAATATGTTTTTTATTTCAATGCAAATATATAGAATATTTTTATTCGATGTAAATATAAATATTCTATTATCCGATATTTTTTTCGGTTTACTTATATTTTTATATAAATAAATTGTATATTTTTTTAAACAAATGATTATAATTTGTATATCATAATTTTTTTATATTAAATAAATTCGTTCAGTAAATAAATGCTTTATATGAATGATGTTTAAAGTAACTTATAATGTAACTAGTTACTTTTGAAAAATAACTGTAACTAATAACTAGTTACATTTGTAAAAATGTTAGTATAACTAGTTATATTATTGCCAATGTAACTAGTAACTGTAACTAGTTATGTTTCAAAAGTAATTTTAACAACACTAAGTCATTAATAAAGAACTTTAGCAAGTCATCTTAAAAATTAGTTTTTTTAGATAAAGAATTTGTTGATTTATGCTTTAAAAATATCAATTTTATTACAACTTTTTTTTGCTAAAGTTTGAATGGAACCTATTGTCATGATTTATTACAGGAAATTTTGTTTTAGTTTTACATTTTGGTTTTCGCAATGATTGTAAACAATCTTTTCATTATCTATATTGTATTCATAATGTTTCCATATTTCCCTTTTGTGAGGACATTTTTCCAGCTTGATTATCAACCCCAATTATTTCATAAGAAATTTTCTTCCTTATATTGATGCTAACCTTTAACAAAAATTTATTAAAAAAAGTAATCATATTTTTATATACCTTTGGTTTGTTTTATTCAAAAAATTCGGGAATTATTATTTAAATTTTTAAATATTCTTTCTTTAATTGTCTTTTTATTAGTCTGTGTCTATAATCATATTACCTATCAGATTGGCTTGTTATCACAAGAGACATGAGAAAAGATTCGATTTTATTATTCATTTTATTTGAATTATTGTTTATTCAAACAAAACAATTTACTACTCCTATTCGTTTTTGAATAAGAAGCCTATTGAAGAGGGAAGAAGATTTCTATCGATTTTCCCAAAATGTTTATAATAATTTACCTCCCAGAACTTTTTATCCGGTTAAAAACCTAATATTTAAAAATGTTCATTTATAATAAAAGGCTTTAGCGCCAACTCTCTTAAAAATTTTATTGCAAAATAAAATATACTATTTTGCAATCAGTTTTGAATAAAGATGATAAAAAAAATAATACTATAAAATATTATTAATCTTTTCTAAATTTACTTTTAAAATAATAAACTAAGAAACCATTCTTTTGCCAAAATATTTTAAAGTTACAGGAATTTTTAATGTTAAATTTGTAGGCACTTTAATAATATAAAAGATAAGTTTCTACACGTCTTCATCGTCCTCACAAAATCATTAATTCTCATAAAATCAATAACGATTTAGCAGTCTATCTATATTTTATAAATAAATATACGAAATCTCATTACCTCTAATTCAAAATTGCTGTTTATTAGATATAATGTTTCACTTTCATCAAGCGCTCATATTTGCTTAATCTGTTAAAGCTTAGTAGCATTGGTAGGAGTGCACCCGGCGTGCTATAAAATTTTTTTTCCATTGCCATGCTTAAGTTTCCTGAACTGACATGCTTAAACGAAATTATAAAAAAAAATTTAGTGATAATTTTTCTTATCATAAAATTTAAAATTCTATAAGTAATTCTTGCTCATACGAGGGTCCATTCTCTGCACTCGAGCAAATAAAGTTATATTTACACTATGGGCCAAAAGATTTAATTGGCATTTGATTATATTGAGGACAATATTTTAAATAAAATACTTGATATAATTGATTTATTTGATTTGAAATTATACAATGTATTTTATATAGGAATTATAATAAAATAAGGTAGAATTTTTATTTAGTTTAATACTGTTATTTTTTTAATACACACAATTCTTGTTAATTAAAATTTATCGCCCCCTCCTCCTACCCCTTTTCTCCCCAAATAATAAAATTTAAAAATTATTGTTAAAGTCAAATAAAAATTAATCTATTATTGTATTTACTTATATATTTTTTTGGTGCAGATAGATATTTTGTAATATTTTTATTTCAGTACAAATAAATTTAATTTATTTTTAATTTTTTTCAGTGCAATCATTTCTTTATTTAAATTGTATATCATTTAAATTTCTTTATTGCAAAATTATTTTATTCAATAATTTAAATAATTTCTTAGTTACCTAAAATATAATTAGTTACTTTAAAAAAATGTAACTGGAACAAGTTAATTTTTAAGAATGTAACCTATAAAGGTAACTAATTATTTTTCACAATGCTTAGGTCATTTTTATACTTTAAGATCTACCCCCCCCCCCCTATTTATACAAAAATATAAGTGTTAGGGAGATAAAAAGTATACAAATTTTATTTTTTGATGATTGTATAAGAAATAATATCATAACTGTAATAAAATAATTTTTTTAAATATATATTCCTTATTCGTCTAAAGAAAGTCATATCATTAATCGATATTTTATAATATTTATTGTTTAAGGGCTAAACGCGTCGCTAAAAAGTATTACGATCGTTTATTTAGGGAGTATTGCGTGGTAGATTTGAGCCTATACCAAACCAGCAATATTGGTATGAGATGGAGAACCTCGAAAGAAGTATTGAGTGGTAAGGGACAATTTATATGTGGGGAAAAGTCTTGTACTAAAACTGGGAATGATTTGGCTAGTTGGGAAGTCAATTTCTCCTATTCGGAGGTCAACGAGGTAAAATCAAATTATCATACTATACAAAATGTTTTTGAAATAACAAAAACAGGACCTCATTGATTGATTAGGAAACTTTTTTTTAACTTTAAGGCTTTTGAGTTTATATTCACAATCGGTTTTTTGTTTTGTATTAGATTGAGAAATAAAGTATACATATGTTGGGGAAATAGTTTTAAAACTGGTATAACTTTTTATCATATATTTTATGACAAAAATGATAGTATTTTGCATTTTATTATACCGGAATTAGAAAAGAGTAAAAAAACCAGTGAAAAATTTATATATATCGTAAAAAAGTCGTTTATTAATGAATACCATAAATCATAAAATACCATCACCTTTTATCAATTTTCATTAAATCGTTACATATATAAAAATAAATAGTCCACCTGTTTATATGAGAAGAAAAATGCTCTCGTCAAAGCCAGACTATGCCCCGAATGTTCCGTCAAGTTGAATTTTAAGCACTTGCATGATAAGAGTATTAACAAGAACCTCAAGCGGAAATCAACCGAGAATGATGATATAAATCGCAAAAACAAAATTAAAAAAACTAAGAAAAAGAAAAGTAAGGATAAGGAAATAAACATAGATGCGGAAAAATTGAAAGATACGCATAAAATTGAAATGGAGTCTGAGAGCTATTTCGAAACTCAAAAAACCGAACTTTTGGGTGATGGTTCAACCTCCAAAGTGGCTCAGGTCAAAGTAGGTAATGACGTTTGGACTGCTAAATCTATGGTTACAAAAGATAACGTTGAAAAATCGAGGTTCTTTTACCTTATTTTTTGATATTCATTTAAAACTGCTTTCAACGCTTCTATTAAAATGTTAAATTGAACCCTGCAATGATGATATACTTATATTGATCATTGCTACATGATTATTATGTTTGAATAATTTAATCTTCTCTCTGAACAGGGTCAACATTTTAACAACCTAAAATCGTTTTATTTATTAACATTAATCTTGTTTTTATTTTAGGGAAGAAGAATTTGACGAATATTTTCAAGATATGTTTCTATAATTATAGTATATTTATAATTGTAAATAAATTATGTTTTAGAGTATATTAAAAATATATTCTATAAATTGATTATTTTTATCTTTGATCAGAAAAACTATCTGTTTTTACTCACTATAATTTTATTTAATTTGCAATTTATTTTTTATTCAAGACTAAATATTTATTGATTTAAAAGTTGGTAATATATTACCCAAGTATGAAATTAAATTGATATAAGAATATAAAAATTGAGGAAGATGGATTTGATTATTTTAAATTCATTTAATTATACCTAAAACGAATTATTAGATTCGTATTTTACCAATACGAATAACAAAATAAAATTAGTTCAGTAAAAATAAATCACATTTATTAGGCTACGTCCAAAATCTTTTTTAAAAAACTCAAAAAGTTTTAAAATTTTAATGAAATCGTATGTTAAATTTTCTAGAATTATATTTTTGATATGTAACTGTTTTTATATTAAGAAAAAGGCTTATTTAATCTTTTTCGTTAAGTTTCAAAAGTTTGCTAATCGAATTTTTTGATATTTTGGACACTGCCTTATAACAAATTATGAAATTGGCTAGTGAGGCAGGTCTAAAACAACAATGAAATTTTACAAATTTCTCATACTGATTGATGAGTTGTAGGGTTAGATATCTATACCCATCTTGGAACACAAAAAAATCTGAAACCACTCTCTTGGACGAGGTTAGGACATGTAAGGTTAAGAGATTTGGTGTAGAAAACGCTTGAGTAAACTGCAAATTAAGTTATATAGGTAAAAATGATTTAACTACTCTTCTATAGAGATGGTCACAGTTCGGTTTAGAGCCGATTTTCAAAGAACAAATTGAACCGCACCGAACCGTGGACCACAATATAAATATCAAATTGGCTATGGTCCAGACTCATCTAAAGCTAAGCAGGATATTTTATTCTATTTATTTGCAAATTAAAAAATAATATATAATGATATAGCATAAAAATAAATTATTTTCTACTAGAATAATAAGATCAGTTTTACTAAGATTAGATTTTAAATTATCTTAATTAGACATTCCATTTTTACATTTTTAACTTTATTCTTTTATGTTAAAAGTCATCTGCATTGGAAAAATGAATGGAAGTTTTTGAATAGTCAAATAATATCTGCTATAAATAGATAAGGGACACATTATAAATTTGCTCAAAAAACAGTTATAACCATGTAGATTTGCTATTATGAACATCATAAATTTAACATTGCAAATGGCATATAATATTTAGTGAAAGTAAATAGTATATCAACAAAATACCTTAACTACTCTATTAATTAAGTTTGATTTCCTTTTTAAAAGCAACACATAAAATTAAATTACTGGATATATTTAATAATAAAATAGTATACATTAATAATTATATATCGTTTAAATGTTTTAAATATTTTAAATGCAATTATTATTTTTATAAATAATGATATATGTTCTTCCTTCATTATAACATTAGACAGGTTGTGAACCCACATTCTACAAAAAATTATTTGGGTTTAGCAAAAAAATTCTGAACCAGGTTTTGGGGTCGGAGTCAGAAATAAAGACTATAATTTAAAATAACAGAAATATCTGTTTCTTTTTAAAATTTATTTTATCACAAGATATCTTCCAAAATATCAATAGGCTTACCAGAGTCTTCTTTTAATAGGGTCTATCCTCTTCATATGTCCAAAATATCTCCGGTATCTATTTTTATTTACTTTAATTTGACCTATTTTTTAAAAATAAATAATTTTATTTTACAGATTATTACAAGGAAAGTCATTTACAATTACATCATTAAACAAGTTTTGTTTTTTATATTTTTTTCATCATAATTTTTTTTATGTACCCTCATAATATACTTTTCTGAATTTGTTGAACCTGTTAATAATAAACTTATTATAAAAATACGATTGCTTTTTTCTATCCTAGGTCTAACGATTTCTTAAAATGTATGAAGCCATCGTACTTTCCTTTAATTAACAATTCCTAGTGTTAGGCGGCCGATTTGGATCGATTTTAAAAACGACTCGATCAAGATTTCAGACAATAATATTATGTAAGCCCGGAGATTTTGCTGATAGACGGCAGAAAGGTTTAGACTTCTATATAAAAATTTCGAGGCTTATATAATATTATTTTGGCTTGAATCTTAATGGTTTAACTACACAATCCACCATTCGTCAAAAATTTTTTAAAATGATTTAAAAGACGCATATCTGTGGTTTTTCCATTCCTTGATGTATATGTTTGATGAAAATAATATAATAAGTTGAAAAATAAAATTATTCAGTTATTAAATTTTAAACCTAAAATCATTAAAATATAATATTTTACCATTAAAAATATAAGCAATATTTGAAACAATAAAAATGGACAAAAAATTTAAATAGATGCATTGAAAGATATGTATATAGACTTTGCATTTAATATGTTAATCTTGAAAATTAAAAGTATTCTAACTTCTAATTGTATTATAAGCGGTTTTAATTTATTAGAATTACTAACAAAAAAAATGTATAATAATCTTGATATTAGATATTTTTAAATCTATTATTATATTTCAAGATATTTGTAATTCCCTGTATCTGAATTGCTAATATTATCAGATGGGAGAGCAATTAGATCAAATTATGAAACGTGGAATATATGGTTTAATCATGTTAACTAATAAAACAAAGGTTCTTTTATTCAATATAATCTTCATACCAATATTTCTATTATCGCAAAACTTTATGATTTTTTTTCCACCGTTTCATAACACTCATGAACATAAATCACTAAAATATATCATGCCAATACAAAATATAGTATCAATTTAATTATTTTTTCACTCATATAATCCCGGATTATAATATTTCCCCTCTAGATCTCAATTGATCCTGGTGCCTACAATAAACTATTCCGCTTTCTGCCCTAATATTGTATTTTTCATTTCCAATTACTTCCCCCATCCTTCCAATCGTCTACCCACATTCCCTTAAAATAAACACATACCCAGACCTATTCCCAATTTATTCTACTTCATAACTTACCCGGGTTTTTAATTTCTTTTTAACTAATAAACCTTAATAATGTCTTTCCTCACAAAAGCCGAAGATAGATACATCGTTCTCATTCTTACTTTTATTATAGAATATTCTAGATATCCATTTTTCATTGTCACCATACTTTTCTTTTCTACTCTAAGTCCAAACCTTCTAAGCTCCAACGATTAAGCCAAGAGAATAGTTGCGGAATTCTTGGCTGAGAAAAGAAAAATATGGTAACAGTAAAAAATGAATATCTCAATTAGAGAATGAGAAGGTGCATCTTCGGCTGAGGGATATTTGCTAGGAAAAACATTATTAATGTTGGGTTCGTCAAAAGGAGGAAGAAATGAAAATATCTGGAATGTTATGGTCGAATAAATTCTGAATGGGTCAGAAGGAACATGTGTTGATATTAAAATATGAAAGTTTAGATGGACGATTGGAAGGGTGGATGAAGTAATTAGAAATGCAAAATACAATCTTAGAACAGAGCGCACAAAAGTTTATTGTACGTACCAGGATTTGATTAGAGGAGTGTTAAAGGAGGGGAGATGTTATAATTAGGGATTATATGAGAGATTATGAAATAGAGACTATATATTTTGTATTCGCATAATATATTTTAGAAATATTTGTATGAAAATTATTTTGAATAAAAGAACATTTGTTTATACTCAATTGAATTCTGCATGTGGAACTTTATATTCCACTTTTCATAACATGATTTAATTGCTCTTCCATCTACTAATATTAGTAATTCATAGAATTACTATAGACATGAAACATAATAATAAATAAAATGGAAAAGAATTTTAACACAAATTTTTTTCATATATAATCAAATGGCCTAAATAGCGTCATCAGCTGTTTTGCAATGATATAAACTTTTATGAATGAATCGTCAGTCTGATTATTAGTCACTCATAGTTAGACTATAGCCAGATGCTCGCTCTTTTCAAAAATGTTTCTTAATACATTAGTAAACAAATTACAAGCATACATAAAGTTAACGAAATATATCTTAGATTCCACTGATCGAACATACTTTAGGAATTTTTCTCTCAAGTCTGTCTAAATGGTTGTAGCATTTTTTATAAACTTAATTTTTTCTACATTTGATAATACGGTAGATTTTGATCAGCGGAATATGAATACCTTATTTTAAAGTCGCTTTTAAAGCTTGTTAAAACCAGAGATTTCTAAACCCCCCTAAGTCAATGACTATATTACTCAATTCGAAAATTTTAATCCCTTCTACCAAATTAAAATTAGTATAAAAGGGAAATCAAAACCACTCCCATCCAATTTTATTCGAATGACGATAGCATAATCATAAATTAAATCCCCCTCCCCTTTCAATTTCAATGACGATCTTGCGTCATACATATCCTACCCCCAAGTAGAAGTCTGTGCATTAAATTGCACGAATATTCTACTCATTCCTATGGAATTTAGGATTCAAACTTGATATATTCGAATTTTTATCTTCATGGCATAATTTTATAAGTAATAGATCTTCTTTTGATAACATTTTAAATTTACAAAATTACCGTTTGATATTTATAATGTGTTAATAAAAAGCGGTGAATAATCAAATTTATTAATAACCTAATAATTTTATGTTGAAATTTATGATTAGGGGAAATTTATAAAAAAAGACGAACATTCTTTTATAGTACGACTTAATGAGAACCTAAATGGCTTGTTTTTGTGAAAAAATCTTGTTAGATCTTGTTGTCACTTATGGGCGCTCTATGGCGGAAAAGTTACTGGAGAAATGTCTATAGGCAAATTGCTGATAAATTGCCAACAATACCTTTTGACTCTTGTTGGTACTTATTAGCATTTGTTGGCACTCATTGGGGCTTTTTGACAATCATTAGTTGTTAGCACTTTTTGACACGCATTACCGCTTGTTGATACTAATTGACGCTTGTTGGCACTCATTGGTGCTCCTTATGCAAAATATCTGTAGGCGAGTCGCCACTTCACCAAATTATTTTTAGGAAAATTTGCTTAAGAATAAAATTCTATCCTTTTAATAATAAAAATTAAAGCCATAAAATTGACATTTTTTTACCAATAAATCTGGGAAAAGCCAAAAAT